CCTTCTGAAGAACCACATCCCTCCTGCATCTAGTCGCCTCTTAACCTCTTTTGTGACTCAACGAACACTCGTTGCCACTTTTGTGATGCCAACGGATAATCCCGCACTAATAGAACTTGCTCTACAAGTAACCCGTATAGTGATCCGAATAGAGAAATAGTGTAGTGAATAGAGTAGAGAATAGCGGTCCGTATAGTAATAGAGGAGAGCGTAGAAATGGTGATGCGGATAGTAATAGAGGATAGACTAGATATGCAGATCATTTAGACGTCACGCGACTTCATATATAGGCGTTTCCTCTATGGTCACGTAGTCTACTTAATTCAATAATGGGATTGCCTATGTTTGCTCACTGGCGATCTATGTTCCAACCCAAGTGTCGGCAGCGACACTTTATTCCTGTATAACAATCTCCAAGGGAGATTGGCCAGCATGCATTGCTATAAAAGAGGACTGGCAGCACGTAGCAGCTGAACTATATTTTCTTTATTTCTAATAACATTTTCCTGCTATTTAATAATTTGCTTAGCCTTAGGAAGGAATCTTTTGCTACACCAATGTGTCTTCGGATTCCGGCGTTACATATTCCGTCATCTCTTGAAAGCCGTTCCCAGAATTTTCTTACCTGCTTGATTCTGGCATCTCAAATTAGTAGTTCACATCTTGGCCTGTTCCTCATGCTGACAAACATACGTTCATTTTGCAATTGATTGTTAGTCCTTTCTTCTTTTGAATATTACTACCAAATACTTTTTTCCGGTGTTCCTGATATATATTTAGATATTCATGACAGCGTTCCCAACTAAGGATTTTCTAAGCGTAGTTTAGATGTGGCACAAAGCCGAAAGTATGAAGCACTCGGTGAGATTCGAACTCTCTACTCAGTCGAAATTGATCTAGCGAGACAAACTTCTTAACCACTACACCGCCTCGAAATGCCCGGTTATAAGCTATCTACAACCGTTTACTCATATCAATCATTAGAAATGGCTTCAAGCGAACAAAGCTTTTAGGTCTTAAAAAAGAGAACCATTTAGATTCCCAATGAACTTTAACAGATAACAAAAACCACATCATTTAAAGACTTCCAACAGCAGCAACAACTAAAATTGATAGCACATGTAAATATAAGGGAAAATCATCATATAATCATGTTGACTTTTCCCACTACCTTAAAAAAATAAGTTTGTGAAGAAAACCCCTAAAAGGAGCAATAACAATTAATGAGCTTTAGAAACCTATTTCCATAAAAAACGGTTTTAAGGAATGAATTTCACAAATTTCAACCGACAGTAACACTAACTGTTAGGTCAATGAATACAGAATATTTCCTTATAAAAAGCAACTATCTCATCATTATCATTACCAAACTCTCATCAGTACGAGAAAAAACGATACTTGAGAAGATATGGATTTGAACATAAGAATATATTTTGTAAGAGAGTCTATAAACCAACAAATAACGATAAAATTTCAGTCAAATAATGCCAAAAGATAGCCGTGATCCAATTTCAATCCCGGGCCTTCTCAGTCCTGTTGGACGATTCTCTCCTTGATTGACCATTTCTTCTGGGGGGTGTAGCCGTACCCATCACGCTTGGCAAATTGCAGTTGGTGAGGTTATTTATCCCATAGTTGGGGATTTTAAATTCAGATTTGTCCTAAACCGCTTGCCACCCAAGTCTATAGGGTCTAATTTACCCTGCTATTAACGCGGAGGAATTAGGGAAGATAAGGATGAATACCTTTCCCAAAGGTATTTGCACGTAAGTGAATGTAAAGAACTCGACTGGAATTCGAACACGGCTCTCTGATTCCTCAATCCGAGCCGTTATCCATCACTCCTCCTATGCTAATCCTACCATTATCATTTCCCATGTGATATTTATCACATAGAATCCAATTCAAAAATGAAATCTCTCTCTCTCTTCTCTCTCTCTCTCTCTCTCTCTATATATATATATATATATATATATATATATATATATATATACATACAGATGTGTGTATATATATATATATATATATATATATATATATATATATAGAGAGAGAGAGATAAAGAGAGAGAGAGAAATAACTAGTAAAGTATATATATATATATATATATATATATATATATATATATATATATATATATATATATATATTTTGTTTATGAAAAACTAGGTAATCCGTATGGGTAAACCTAAGTAGGATAAAATCCAGAGAGCTCAATGTAAATTCAGAGCAAATAATTTAAATAAAAGTATTTAATCTTCAAGGGGTTTCTCTTTCTCTCTCTCTCTCTCTCTCTCTCTTTATTTATTTATTTATATATATATATATATATATATATATATATATATATATATAAGGAGAGCGCACCATTTGAAGATTAACTACTTTAGTAGCCATCTCTCTACGGTATGTAAATTAATATACATGGAACCTTAAAGTGGCCTGTTTTATTTAAATGATATATATATATATATATATATATATATATATATATATATATATATATATATATACAGATATATGGCTAGTAAAGTAGTTAATCCTCAAAGGTTGCTCTCTCTCTCTCTCTCTATATATATATATATATATATATATATATATATATATATATATAATTTACATACCTGTAGAGAGATGGCTACTAAAGTAGTTAATCTTCAAATGTTGCGCTTTCCTTATATATATATATATATATATATATATATATATATATATATATATATATATATATAAAGAGAGAGAGAGAGCATCCCTTGAGGATTAACTACTTTACTAGCCATCTCTCTACGGTATGTATCCATCAGACACCTTTGAAATGTTGAAAAACAATCGTTGTTGGAGACATTCAACTTTGGCACGAGGCCATACTTCCCCCAAATCGCTATCAGTTGCTTGAGAGAATAACGTACCCACCATCCTTCTAAGACAAGCACTCTTTGATCGGTGAATGCGTTCAGTTATATGAGTGCGTCTTTCACACTCAAATCTTGCGTGTGGGCGTGCGTGTTTCATCAGAAACTTCTTGCACAAAATGAAGGAAATGACTTTTACTTTTGGCGCAAATATCGGCAAATTTTAGCGCAACACGGTCACCGCGGCGATCACGCGAATCATTCGATGTCCGGGCTTTTCTTTTTCTTTTATATCTTCGTTCGCACAACCATTACGATTTGTGCATTCATTCACCTGTAAGAATAGCGGCATCTTCTTCGGTAATTATGAAAACTCGCGATAGGAAAGCGAACAAGATGAGACGAAAATAAATTAGTTCGGTTACTATGGTTTCACTAATGCAGGTTTGGGCGTGAATTGTGAAGGGATTTTTTCTTTGCTATATACTCAGTCATATCAAAAGAATATAACCACATTATTTTTGTCTTCATGGAACGGGGTAATTTTTTTTTTTTTTTGTTTTTAAATATTTAAAATTAATAGTTGATATGGTTGATAAGTAAAAGTAATGGGGAAATTAGTTTTTCTCTTTATACCTAAATATTCGACAATCATTGAGCGAACAGTTACAGATACAGTTCCCACAAGTTTATTAAAATCTTTAAAATCAATTTTAATTAAAACATTGACTGTTGTCGCTCTTTGTAGAACTAATGGCGGCTCACTTTCTAATTTTTGTTGTGGAAAGTCAGCATCTTGATTATGTCGTTACTTTCTCATAGATTTGCATGCGCTATCCACTATAGATGTTGCCGCTATTGGAAGTCTTCAACTGATGTAGTTTCAAGTTTCAAAGTTCCTGGTTTGAATTAACTATTTAATGAACATACACCTTACGTTATTTCCTTAGGTGATACATTTGATGACTGATGTTTTACTCCAACATCCAATGTAATATATATATATATATATATATATATATATATATATATATATATATATATAAAAAAAAGGCTTAAACACTAATATTCCATGGTCATAATTTATTCCATTGGAATCGTAAATACGATCCAATTCATCAGACCTACAAATTCAAAAGGAAAATGTTCTCAATTACAAAGCGGTAAACGCAATTTCAATTTCTGTCTCCCCCACCTCGTCTTTCCCTCCCTCTTATTCTAACATTAAATTGTCTATGGTGTGTGTATGTCACCACGAAATGTATCTTTATACATCCGACAACTTTCATTTTTTTCTCTTACTTAAACCCCTTCCACCCACCTCCCCTAATATTCTCTCTGTTAAGGTTTAATCTCCCTCCCCCTCATACTTACACTCTCTCTAAATTCTGTTTTTATTTCCGGAGTTGTTTTTTTCTGTTTTCCTTTTGAATTTGTCGGTCTGATGAATTGGATCGTATTTACGATTCCAATGGAATAAATTATGACCATGGAATATTAGTGTTTAAGCCTTTTTATTATATCCTTACTCTGTCCTGGACATTGAGTTCTACCTGGATTCTTCCTCTTGGAATTTTTATTCTAAAAATATACATGTATGGGTATTTATATATTTTGCATACGTATGTATATTTACCACTAATATTATCTATCTATCTATCTATCTATCTATATACATATATATATATATATATATATATATATATATATATATATATATATATGTATGTATGTATTATGTCCATCTTGTGTAATTCTTTCTCCAAAACTAATCCATCTGACCTCAGATATCCCAATGATGTCCCAACAATAACGTTTCAGTTCATGGGTTCTTCCGGGGGTGTATAATGTGCGGACATTCCCTGTTCCTGTCATAATTTTTTTCCGTTGATAACATGATACTATGTTTCACGGTAGCCGATTTATCACGCCCATCCTGAACCGAATCAATGTGACACGCAGTCTTTGTTAAACACTACCCCTGTACGTGGTTTAGCCTGCCTGCTGAAGCGCTTTGCAAGGGTGTGGACCTGGGGCCAACACGTGAAAGATTTAGGGTATGGGTGAAGACCAGTGTTGCTCATCCACCTTAATAATAAGTGCAGCAGTCGAGCAACAAAAGTATTACTACTGCCTACTGCTCCCTACACACATAGATAGATAGATAGATAGATAGATAGATAGATAGATAGATAGATAGATAGATTACACTGGTTGTAGGAGGAATCAATTCGTTATCAAATGTACCAAATATATTGCTATATATACTTTTATAATAATAATAAAATAAATACAAAAACTATAAAATTATTATCAAATATATGAGAATATATTATTGTTGTTGTTGCTGTTTTTAAAGTATTTGAAAGATAAATAACAGAACAAATTGACTATTAGTAAACAAAATAAAATAACGTTATAACTGAAAACGCTTAGTACTTTACAGTTAATAAGAAAATGTAAAACAATAAAATTCATACCAAATGTCATTAAAAAAATCTTTGAATATAAATAATAGATAAAGAAATCGGCAATAATGAGCAAATACTCAAAGATAAACAAAATAACCATTACAACTCTAAATGCTTTCTTTCAATTTCGAAAATTATGACCACTTTCGTAAAAAAACAGAGAAATGTTCTTAATATATATAACAATTAGCGAGATATTCTTTTAAAATTACACTTTCTAAACAACACTTATTTTAAAATAAAAAAAATCGTTGTATACCACGACTTATCTTAAAAATCTCTATCTATGAAAGGCAGGATGTTTGTATGTGTGTGTGTGTGTGTGTGTGTGTGTGTGTTTGTGTAACGAATGCACGGCCGCAATTTTTGACGGATTTGCACCAAAATTTACATGCTCCAAGTTAGCGGGAAGGCCAAGACCGACTTTGCATTTCCCAACTCCCATCGATAATGGAAATAATCGATTTTTTCATGCTTCTACGGCACTTTTCATGTAGTTCGCGGTCATTTTCTACTGGCCAGAGTGAGAGCCTATAGCCGTCTGCCACGAATAGGCAGGAAGATTCTATTGGTTAGCGTAAGAGCCAACAGCTGACTGACATGAATGTTAACTAGCATGCTAGCATGAAAAAAAAAATCGATAGCTGCATTCGTCACAAGTGGGAAAAATTTAAATTTGCATGGCACTTTACTCCAATTGGCTCATTCGCTTGCTTAAACTCAACGTTGATTCTGATTCCGCAGAACTGGGTTTGGTGTGAAAAAAAATTTGTTGTTAACATTCTTTTTTCATTCGGTTTTTCCAGTTACGAGTCCTTTTTTAAAGCTGATCGTTTTGTGTTCATTTTGTTTAGTTCTTTTTTCGTAACAGATTTAATGTTTAGTATAGAGCTTAGAAAAAATTCGCAGTGTGAGATAGGCAAGAAGTAAGGCATGTAGCAACATCAGCATGGCAAAGGGCATTCCTTTAAAGGCAAGGAAGGGCAAAAATATTTTAAGTCAAGTGATAGCGATTGCTGTATGAGTCGTACGATTTTTGAATCAAGCACGGGCAATGCCGGGCCATTCTGCTAGTAAACAAATATGTATAAAAGATTATAAAAAATATGTATATTAAATACTATAAATGCATAATAACATAATATTATAGTATAATATAATATACAAAGAAAAATATAAGAATATATATTTCCTTGTCTTGATTTGTCCTATATACATGTTGTTACACCTTATATTATATAATATATGGTAACTGTATACCTTAAATTATTGAAATTAATGGCTTTTACAATCCATTTAAGGAAAAATATTATGGAATAACCCAATGTTGAGGAAAAAGTATGGAATTTGTATTACGGTAACAAATACGGCAAATCTACGTACAGTAAAAGAATGAAATCTTGCAGAGTTCACCGAACAGTTTTGGCATGCCTCAATGGTGACATAGCTTCAACGAAATAACTGTCAATTGAAATGGCGGAAACACTCTTAAAACACATTCGGAAAGGCAATTCACGGTAGAAAGCGACGAAAAACATTGGTTGTCCCCAGTCAGCTGTTTTTTAAAATTTGGTGAAAATATAAAAGAAACAGGATGGTTAATAAAGAAGAACATACTAGTAGTAGACCACTAAAAATCGTCACGAAAGAAAATCTCTGGAAATCGTTAACCTTCGTAACCGAAAAAAAAAAAACGGTGTGTGTCGATAGAACGGATTGTCTCTCTTAACACCAATTAATAGAGTGTGATAAACTAATCTCCCTTATTTTATGATTACCTCCCTTTGGAGAACTCTTTCGTTTGTAGAGGACTATAATCACTAGTTGGTATCAATTATTTTTAGCAGAGTAAAGCTTTTCTAAGCTTACCCTTGCTTTTTTGTTACTGCATAAAATTTTAATAAAACCTAAATACAGTGTAACCCGGATATAAGAGAACCGGATATAAGAAAAACCCAGATATAAGAGAGATTTTCTCTGGTCCCAAATTAGAGCCTGTGTTAATGTATATGAATTAGACCAAACTCGGATATAAGAGAAACCCGGATATAAGAGACTTCTTCTCCGGTCCCGACAACTCTCTTATATCCGGGTTATACTGTATATGTTGAAAGTGAATTTATAAATTTTTTTGTTCTTGAGAATTTACAAGGGAAATATTAAATCTATTTTTATTAGATTACAAGAAAACATTTATATTTACAACATTCTAAAAACTAATACAATTAAAACGAATGCAATGTAAAGTTTATCATTTACCAATTTAGAAAGAAATCAATATGAAAATAATTTTTGTTTATAAATCTATAAACATTTGCAAAATTATTAAAATATGTGAATCAAATATGAGGAAAACCTTATTATTTACCATTTTATAAAGTTCAAATCAACTGGAAATTAACGGATGTTTTGCTAACCATTCCAATAAAGAATATAAATAAATATTGTAAATAAACAATCTAATAAGCAAATAGTGTTTATTATTTTTGTTGTCAATTCTCAGGAACATTGAAAATATATAAACTCACTTCCATATGTTTACGTTTTATTAAATTTCTAATCATCGTTTTTTAAACAATAAACATTACCGAGTAATTATAATCATAGCACTGTCAAAGGAAGAAAGGTCCTTTTAACGCTTCGTTTAGTTGGTTTTATTTTGTTTTCCTGTTTTTTTTGGGGGGGGTTGCAGGTAAAAAGGTCCAAATTTGCCAAATATTTTCCTCTGCATGACTTTGAAAAAAATATACCATTAATTTAAATAATTTAATTTAGTTTTTTTTTAAGTTTTAACTTATGAAGCCAGTATGTTTAGCTATGAGATAAATATGTTTCCTCTTATCTGTTATGAGTTTATTTATTACTAAATAAACAAAAACAACGTGAATATGCTCTAAGTAATTTTCCCGTAATTTTTGCCAGAGGTTGTACTCTGCTTTAGTAATACAGCGTATCGAATTGAGAGAAAAACTTATTTTAAATCAACTGTTAATGGTTTGCTTTTACGTTTATACAACAGCTTCAGGTTTTGTGCTGAAAAAAACACATCGAAAGTTGTCTAAATGTAGATCGTGTTTTTTTTTTTTAACATTACCTTTTGGCTTATCTCTGTTTTAGATATGCCAAGCCGACTCCGAGAAAAGTCTACAGTTAAAAACAATGTTCCTTGCATATCTGTATTTCTGGCGCCATTGTTATTACGTTTTCTTTTGTTTTTCATAGATTTTCTGTTACCTTATTTCCTTGGTATTTACTCGCAGCTTTCAGATCGTTAATTTATGACGAGAGGCTGACTCTATTATTAGCTTTGATATTTGTTTATTTATTTTCTGGTTACTTCGTGCTAATTTCCTCATCAGTTTATATATGGATGTACTCGAATTGCGTAGCGTTTATCGTCATGGAAAATGAGATTTCGCACACCGGGTTCAAATTTCACCCGAGGACGTTTCGTTCGCTTTTACGCAAATGGCCTTGGTAGGCAAGAAACTTTTCTTAAAAAGCTACGAATTAATAAAAGGGCTGATTCTAGTCTGAGTTGACAAGCATTTTAGGAGGTCGGTGCTACATGCTTCTTCCTTATGTGTCATGTTCCTTCAGGACATAGGCGATCATAGCTCTCCATGACATCCTAGCTGTTAATAATCTTTGTCATTCTGTTATTTTCTTTTGCTTTCATTCTGTTCTGCCTCAAACTCAACTATGTCTTCTTAATATTAAATATAAGTTTCCTTTTTGTTTCCATTTCTTATAAAACTATTGCTCGCATGTTTGATCTATGGTATCCTCATCATTCTTCTGAAGAACCACATTTTTGTTGCTTCAAGTCTCTTCTTAATCTTTGAGATTTTCCAGCCCTCACTGTCATACAGGACAGATATCACGTAATTGTTTAATACATTTTTTCCTTGTTTCTAGCGATTTTTTTTTCTATTTCTTAGTACTCTTCTTAGCTTTTGGAAAGCATCTTTGGCTATCCCAATATGAATTCTGATTTCAGTATCTCATTTTCCGTCCTCTGTTAAAACAACCTACAGATATTTAAATTTCCGCACTTTTTTGATTCTGTTATCTCCGATTTGCAGTTCGCACTTCCGGTTCATCCTCTTGCTAATAACCATGCATTTTGTCTTCTTGTGATTGATGTTTAATTTTTTATTCTTGCTTTCCTTCACTGTCTTCTGTAGGGATTTTGATAGTTTTCTTTCCGTATCTGGGATCAACACTGTGTCATCACTTGAATAAGTCCGGTAAGAAGACACATCTTTGATTTATGCTCCTTTCTATTTTTCTATATCCGCTGAACTCATTTTCTATCCACATCCAGGCGGTTTGCTGCCAGTATATGTTCTTGATTATTCTAATATCTTTACCAAATATACCAAGGTTGCTGACCAGTTCGAACAGATCATTGTGGCGTACTTTATCAGTACCTTCCTGTAAGAAACTGCTTGCTACAGAATCCACAGTGGCGGTAACTAGCGTAGTGAGAATGTCACCGCAGGAGAGTATACATACATACATACATACATACATATATATATATATATATATATATATATATGTGTGTGTGTGTGTGTATCTATTAGTACATATATGTATACCTACGTTTTGGTGTGCGACTTAAGTTTCGCTTGATTACCAGCTCCTCGGACACAAAGACTATGTTGCTAAAAGTAAAAAAAAATGGCTTATAGGAAAAACGATGCTGCGTAGGCCAAAAATAAAATTGGACAAAAGGTGTAGTAAATGCGATGCAGATGATTTACATTTTTAAAAAATAGAAAAATGTAGAAAGATTGTAAAAAAAAAAAAAGAAAAAAAGAAAAATAAGGATTACAAATTTAAAATAAAGTGCCCGCCACTGGAAGAGACCTGAAAAAGGTTGTGTGCGGTTGCATAAGGTGTTTTTGCTCCCCTTATTATATATATATATATATATATATATATATATATATATATATATATATATATATATATATTTAAGTAATGAAAATCTTGGTAATCCGTATGGATAATTCCAAGGAGGATGAAACCCAGAGATCTCAGTGTTAAATTAAGTGTCCATTGGTTATAATTTATTTCCCCAGGGAATTTCTTTTTCCCTGGCTCATCAGACCACACTTCCGAGGGTAAAATTCTTCACCCTTAGAAGTGTGAAATTTATTTCACCCTTCTTCAAGGGTGAAATAAATTATAACCAATGGACCCTTAAAGTAGTTTGTTTTAATTGAATTGTATATATATATATATATAGCTTTCAGATATTCTATATTTATGGATTAAGGTGCTCAACATCAGATATAGAGTGCATATAAATATAAAATTGAACATTGAAGGTTTATTGACGATTCCGTTTAAGCATGATACTCCACTGGATTTCGATGTCTGAAATCTGTATATATTAATATATATATTATCCCTCAGCGCTATTAGCACCAGCACTATATGTCCGATATATTATGATTATATATATATATATATATATATATATATATATAGAGTGTGTGTATATATATATATATATATATATATATATATATATATATATATATATATATATATATATATATATATATATATATCATAATCATTTTTCTCCTAAATTTGTAATATGTGTGTATCAACTCAGATCATACCAAAATATACTTTGCGACTAATACCAGCGTTTGTTAGGTTATTTAATGTCCAAATATTTTTTTATACTTGAGTCTACAGATAAAGATTGGTTGTATTTATACGTGAGGCTATAGGCAAACATTTTTCGTGTTCATACTTACGTCTAAAGGTAAAAATTGTCTTGATACTTAAGTATAGTTAAATATTGATCAGGTATATACTTGAGTTCATAGGCAAACATTGGATGTGTCTATACTTGATTCTAAAGGCGAACATTGGTCCTGTTTATACTTGAGGCTAAAAGTAAAAGTTACCAGTGTTTATACTTAAGTCAATAGACACACATTAGTTGGTAGTGGTAGTGTTTATACATGTGGCTACAGTAAGCTATTGCATATTAGTGACTTTATCTCTTTCCTTGGATTGAAATGCTTAAAAAATAATACTTGTCGTTATTGAGTGCTATGGTACAAGTTCCTGGTTTAATGCTCCTGTTGTATATCTTGAGATTCTTGACAAAATCCAAAGAAAGATCCGCAATTTAATCGATCCTGACCAGGTATCTCGACTTTAGTTATTTTATTACCGACGTGGCGTGGCTTCCTTCTGCCTTTTCTACATATATTTTCATCGCAATTGCTCTGACGAGCTTTTTCTCCCTGATAACCCGACCACATGAATTTAAGCATGCTACTAGATTGGTATCTAGTTCCGGTCCTTTTAATGTTGAAATAGCTAAATGCAATTGCTACTTCTACTCTAACAGCTTTTTTCTCTCACTTCCTACCGTTTACTCCCTTTCCTGAAAACTAAAATCTTCAAAAATGTAGACGCAACATCAATCGCCATCTTCTGTTTTTTTTTGTTTTTTTTTTTTGTTGTTTTCTTTTTTAAATCTTATTCATCTTTTTTCCTTTCCTCATTCCTCCCTATTCTCGTTCTTCTCTTTCATTTCCACTCCTTCTAACCCCCTGCGTACTACTAGCATTCCTGTCTTGCTTGGGGTGTGAAAAAAAAAACATTGACACAACACAATGTGAAACGTGGACGCATACACATTTCCCATGTCAAAATGGACAGTCATAAATTGTGTAAAGTTTGTAGGTTGACAACTGGTGTTGTGTAACGTAGGTTATTTAAATTGTAGTTCTGTTGATCTAAATATTTCCAAAATTTCGTTAGATATCATAATGGAAAGAGTGAGTTTGGCAAACAGGCTGTTCATCTAAACGTCACAAAAAATTAGTCAAGGTAGAAGGATCTTCGATTATCAAGTCGGTCTGTGTAAATCACCGAGAAGCATGTTGATGTTGAGAACTTTGTCTGGTAGGCATTTGAAATCAGATAAAGTAGATCAAAGAAAGCTAATTAGGTTATCGATAACCAACCCACAGTTAACGTCTCTTCAGGTAATAGATAAAAGCAAAATTACTACTGAAGTGTCAGTATATATAATAAGAAGGATGTTTCTTAGAAATGCATCTAAATGGTTGCATATTTGCAGCAAAAAGACATCAGTAAGAGGGAAAGTATCGAAAAGTGGGAAAACTATGCAAAAAATATGTATGAGACAATGTAAAATGTGCAGTAATAATAGTGATAACAACACGTGTACTAATTGCTAATGTAAAAGCGATCAAGAATCCATTAGCGATTAAAAGTAGATAAAAACAATGGAATACTAAACAGTAAACACTACGAATATTTACTTATGTATTCAAGTATTTTTAATCATTTCACCCCAAGCAAGGCGATAAAGTCACTGAGATGTGAAGAAGTTACTAACGATGAAAGAAAATAGATTGAAGGAACCTTAGAAAACTTTACTTAGGAGTTAATTTATTTTTTATCACTTTACTTAGGAGGTAAATTTAGTACTTTATTTAGCAGCTAAATTTACGACTTATCAGCCTTTTGTGGGTTATTTAAAGCCGAAATATATTTTGGATTGTAAGAATTATTCTCTTTTAGTGAGTGAATATTTAATTAGCAATTTTTTTTAACAATAACATTCTTTTTTTTTCCAGATACTAGTCCAACTACTTAACTAATGTTTGGGTAGATAAGATAGATTTTAAAGGTATTTGCGCGTAACGGAATGTAAAGAATCTGACTGGAAATCGAACTTTGCTCTTCGATTTCTCATTCCGATCCGCTATTCATTACATTAGTCGCACTGTTACTGTAGAGAGAGGGCGATAAAAAGAACAGGATTTAAGGAGATAGAAGATGGCGATTAACGTTGCACTTTAAATTTTGTAGATTTTAGTTAACCAGAAAGTAAGAAGCCGCAAGAGAGTACGAGAAGTATGAGTGAGCAAACATCAGCCATGTTTACATTAGATTTCGAGTTGACTATATCTTCTCTTGCGATTTCTAACCAATCCCCAACACCTTGTTAAAATAGTCCCCGGATGTTCAATTATGCGAGCGTTTATACGGTACAAATTATTCTATCTATTAACGACGGATAAGTCATTAAAACGGAGAATCCAAAATCGTTTGGATATAATCTTTTCCCGATTGATACAACACTAGTAAAGTTTCAGTTCA